AATATCAGTTATTTTGAGCTTTATAATAATATTTTAATACATTTGTATTTTTCAGGTCAACATGTAAACTACAACTCCGCTGTTGCGCATCATGTACCGGTAAGTCAACATCAAATTGTCAATTTTAATATTGAGGTCATGGATCTGCAAATATACCTGATACCAGATATAAGCTTTCGAGTTAACTAAATTATAAAATTAAAGCTAAAATGATGAAAGAATATTATAAATACATGCAACATTTCACAGATTGATTGCCTTAAAATGAATGGGTAAAGATTAGTGCTGATATATTTTTTTGCTTGAAAAAATAATATGTTTCAAAAACAATGATAGTTTGATATTTTTCTCTATAACGGCAACCGATGGTTATTCTATCCTTTGCATATTTTTCGTTATATGCGGTTGATTTTTCCGCATTAGACGCGTCGTCAGCGCAAGTAAATGTCTTAATTAAAGAGCAAAAATTAAATATCAGCCAAGTGCCAAACCAATAGTCTGAATTGCAACAAAATTAGAAAAAAGAACAAAGCGGTTTTTCATTGCGGTATTTGTTGTGATTTATTTTTAAGGGGATAACAATTAATTTCTCTTGTAAAAGAATTTCGTCGAAAATTGCTGAATGAAACATCCGAAGCATGCGTTTAATGAAAGCAATAGTCTTGTGCAAAGCGAATACGAGAGGTTAAATAAAACAATAAAATTGTTTCGCAAGAAACGTTCTCGCCAAGGAACAATATTGCTTTTATTTTTCAAAAGATCCGCACCATTTCTCTCACCGTTAGCCGTTTCGTAGAGAACGATGCCCCTTTCTTCTGCATACTTTCAACTAAATGCGAGACGAGATACACACTCGATAAAACAACAAGAGAGGAAAGATCTGTTACTACCATTACTGTTCTTGAGCAGATACGATGAATTATAAACGAGATGAAAAGTAGATCGTACGAATCCGATAGCGGCGCGTATTATTTTATACAATACGACTAACGGCAATTCATTTCGAGTCAAATACGGGAAGCGAGTTCGTGCATTATGAAATAGCGTAAAACGCTCACGACGTCCCGGTAATCAAATTACACTCGAGCAGGAAGTCGAGGACTCACGTGAACACGTTCGCGCGATTACCGCTTGTGCCGATTTCTTCGTCGCCTCTTTTCGCGGTTTGCCGAATATAAAATACAGTCGGAATCCTTCGGGATTTCCGGAGTGGAGGAAAACAGGGTATAGTGAAAAAGACGACGAGGGTTGGTGTTGGAAACAGCCGACCTGAAAATCGCAATTTCTGCTCTTTTCATCACGTCCCTCTCTCCCCTTCGCCAACCGGAACGATTCTGGCAATGGCGCTTTAGATCGACTTCTACGGCAGATCGGCGAGATCTATCGTTCTCGAGAGCGCCCTTTGGTACGTCGCATCGTATTACCTTGTCATAATGCTAAGAGTCGGGTTTTCTCTTTTCACGGGCGGAGGAAACCGTCGCGCGAGAGCTACCTTTGATGCAGCAATACGCCGGAAATGATTCGGTTTCCTCGCAGTGACTATCAGCACGCACGCGAGTTGCTCTTGATAACATTTCCGCAACCAGATCTAAAAGAGACGCGCGTTGATTGTGAAACATATCGACAGAAGTGTCTTATTTTTTTTCCTTACACACGCAGAACATTTTATATTAAAAATTACTATGTACGGCGGTAGCCGCAGACTGAAAATTTTTACTGTTTCGCAAGTGAAAAACATCGTAAAAATTTTTATAATTCCTTCATGGTCCGCGGCCACTGTCGTACACAGTAATTTTTAATATAACATTTTCTCCGTGTATCTGCAACGTTAAAAGTTTTTTTAATAATCAAGAATTTGTGCATGCCAAGAATTTTTGGTTTTTTAACTATTTCCTTAATTAGCAGAATATTATGATGCGAGACGTATTGCGCACTTTCGTCAGGAAAGAGGAAGATAGGAATATGAAACGAAAATTATATGATAATATTCGCTTTTTTCTGCGCTAACGTATGCAACTCGCATGACAATATGACGCGTGTCATATCTTGTCGCGAACGAAGCATCAGCTAATAGTATTATAAGTAGACGCGGAGAACGTGAACATGATAGATGGAATATATTTCTTCTTATTCGACCGGTTTCGCGACTTTTGCGAGCTCGCGAACGGGAGTCGGCGAACGCTATTCAACTTAAATGGATTCCGAGCTATTCATTGCCGTTTTTTCAAGGACATTGCCGAGAAGACGACGCGGTGGAGACGATCGTTCCTATTCCTTTTTCCCTTCGTACGAGAAACTCGGAGCTTTGAGAGCCGCGTTGATCAAAAGCCACGAAGCTTTTCTCAGACCAAGAACCGACTGTCGCTGTTTGGCTTTCGCCGACCGGGATAGCAAGAAAGGGAATCTTTCTCTCTCTCTTCTGTCGTTCCTTCATTCGTGTGTTACAAGAGCGGTGCTGTACATAGCGCTCTAAGGAAGCGACAGTCGCGTCCGACGTCTTGTCCGGAGAATTTCAAGCGGAAGCAATCCACTCGTCGCCTCTCTGCGCTTTACGGCGATTATCGCGAGAATGCTATTAGACGCGGCGAGTGGTTTGACTATACCGGCGCTTTCTAATGCGTTCCCTCTCGGAGCTTTCAGCGGGAAAGCGCCAGCAATGTCGACTGTCGACATGTCCATGCGAGCATTCGCAAAGTGAAGCGTGCCTACGCGAATCCAGAGTACACTAGAAACTCGCTTTGACCAACGCCGCGTGTGTGCGAGAGTAACATTTAAAAGAATAAGCGTATGCATTTTTTTCAAATATTTTTACAACACCGTTTGCCTTAATTATGCTTCTCTAATTGCTCACGATGTCTGTTGTCCTGTTAAATTGTAAACGTTTATTTTCCGAATAACGACAAAGCAGGCAGCAATATCGTTCGGACAACATTGCATTATTGGGATCTTCACAGCCGCGGGGCTGCGCGTTCGGTAAACTGATAGTTCCATTCTCTGACCCTTTGCAGCTTGACCGGAAGTCAGATGCGGCGAGTACAATAAGCAAGCAGGTTTCAATTTAACGTGGCTAGACCCGGTTAGAACGGAAATGCGGAAGCTTGATTGAAAATTGAATTGTGCTCAAAATGATAAATTGCAGCGAAGTTTCCGCGAATGTAAATTGCAAATCACGAGATTTAAAAGGGATGATTGGATATATATGCGTATTTCAGTTTACTTTCAATTTAATTATTTTAGTTTAATTTCAATTCTGCATCTGCAAGAGAGATTAAAATTGTAAACGGGCTCTATATTCCGAATTTTTATTTGCCCGGAACGTGAGAACGTCTCTCTAGTGTACTGATACACTGGATAATAAATAATTGCACACGTCGCCAGCATTTTTTTCAACCTTGAGAGCGTAATGCACTTGGAAGTGATATCAAAGCAAAATTACGGCGGCCGTTATTTCACGACTATGTGTCCAAAGAAATCCTGTAATGGAAGAAACGCTGAAGCCCTTTGAAAGCGTGCGAACACGCGTCACTCGTGCCAATCACTTTTGTCGCCCCTCTGTCGATACCGCTTTATTACGGGGAACGAGGAATCGAATTTGCGAATAAGGAGACTATATCGTTTGACTTCGTTCGGCGTTCTATCGAATTCAAGAGCGATCTTTACCCTCTGTCAATTTCGTTCCCGTTTTACTCTAGTGCTTCACCACCATTTCTTTCGCATCGGTTCACCCTCGAAAAATTGGACAATTAGCTCGATATAATTTAAAGATAAGTCTGAAAATAATTTTAAAAGCATTTAAAAGTAATATTAGTAAATCAGATAAAAAAAATATATGATTTCAAACAATGTTTAAAAATTTGTCACGGAGGGCAAGAATAAGCTGGAATTATTCAAACGGTTTTTGTAGACTTTTTGTAAATTTTTTTGAAAAACATGATGCTAATGAAGTTCGCTCAGTTTGAAAATTATTGGAATATATTCGGTCTCGTTCGCGGGTTTCTTCCACACGAATAAGCCACGAAATGGCAGCGCGATGCGGCTTTGATTGCTTCCCGAGTCAGCTGAAGCTGATACAGTTATCCTTTGTACGAAGTCGTGGCGCTATGGGCGATGTCAGGGTCCATCTATCGATAGGTCGGTATTTATAGCCGACCCGTATTTCATTTAGCCGAAACTATCAGCACTTTGTTGGCAGGTCCCGGCCGGGCTTAATAAAGCCACAGTGCTGATACCTTTGTTTCTGCCGCAAGGCAACGGCGCGCGAAAGCGACTCTGAGATCCTACAGACATGGGAAACGTTGTCCATGATAATCTCGTGATTGCCTTCGAGCGGCAATTACATCCCCGACACGAGGCCATATGGGATCTCAAGATTACGTTTCCATACGGCTACGGCGTTGCTCGCCCGGCGCAGTGTTTGTTTCAGGGCGGTGTAACATTCCTGTTATTGTTAAACCACCATGCCGGCGTTTGCCGTAAAATAACAAGCATCACGGGCTTCATACTGTTAACTTGAGAATACTGATACTGATCTCACTGATGTATCACGTTCCACATATCGCGCCGCGACAGTTTCTTCCTGCATTCTTCCTGCATTTTACGTCGAAATTGTGTGCATTCATAGCAAATAGATAAATAACGGAACGGAAGAGTCCCGGGAAAATAAATAAACTTTTACACCTTCTTATGTACGAGCGTGAAATTGTTGAAAGAATCTCTCCAATCTCGCGGATTTAAATTATTATATTTTGAAGTCGCGAGTAGGTAAAAAAACATAAACGAAATACGGAAAGTGATGGTAAAAGATATTTCTGAACCAGATATTTTGCACCAGCATCCAAACGTCGTTCGAATAATTTAAGCGGTGCATTGTTTTTGCAGTCGGTGCTCTGGAGCGATCACGGGATGTGATATCCGGTTTGAGAGGTGTTAGTTCCGGTAACCGTATTCTCGACGCGCGCAATACCGAGACTATGTGCCATAAAATTTTAGTTCGCCCGTTTTATAGTCACGAACGTGCAGCCGCGTTTGTGAGGAATCAACATACATTGCGCGCTCCGACACGCCATCGTCGAAGACGATATCTGTCGTACAAATTTCAT